ATTTGTGCCTTGTGGAGAAGCACAGTACCACGTACAACAAATAAGAAAAAATATCTGGTGGTGACTCATCAAAAAGATCATATTAAGGAAAAGAAAATATTAAGGAAAGGCTAACTTCTGTATTCACACAGATTAACCTCTTGACATTGGCAGCCTGAATCTTCTTCCCAGTCTTAGCACTTTCTGATGGCAAGCTTTGAGCCAAGCAAAGCTCACTGGCTTTAGCAGCATAAAACCCCAACTTGAGTGTCTATCAGAAGGTGACATTTGCACCTCAGCCGCTCGGAAGCTACAGCAACAGTCAGAGATAAGGATGAAGTTGGGCTGGAAGTGTTTAGAAGTTCCTCCCTTATTTTGGCATTCTTTTCAGGGGCCTTGGCAAGGTCAGTATTCAGTTTCTTAAGGCATTTGCTGGAGCCTGTCTTTATTCCTATGTAAGGCAGGAAGGGAGCGGTGCTGGTATTTGAATGCTTGGGCTGTCGCTGTCAGAAAGCAGGAGGGTTTTGTTATGTTCTCGTGCCACCCTTGCACTTGGTGCCAGCAGGGGACACCATGCTGCCCGGGGCTTGGGCAAGCACCCTGAGCAAGCAAAGGTGAGGGTACAGGGCAGAGCAAAATGTGCATTGGCTTTTATATATGTTTGTTCTTCTCATGGCCTATCTATTCTATCTCTGTCTTCTTGATTTTTAGATGAAAATCTTTGACAAAAACAAAGATGGACGGCTGGACCTGAATGACCTGGCAAGGTAGGCTTTAACAATATTGATAGGGTTTTTCAGCATGCAGCAGCAGATCTGGACAAGGTGATGATCTCCCTCTGGGGATGTGCATTTGAATCCTGCCTCCTTTCAAATTAAATCAGGTACCCTGATATAGGCATCCCTATATCCCTAATGCACAATCCCCATTGCAATAGTCAAAGAACCTAGAGCTGGTGACACTGAGCAATGTCAGGATTTGCTTGTGCCTCACCATCAGGCTCTGGCATGATCCATGCTACCTGAGGAGGTGACGAAGCAGGCAGTGGCACCATATCTCCAAAAGAAGGATGGCAATCCCCTTCAGCAGGGTCACAGATGTGCCTTTATTTCACATCATCAAAAAAAGGTCTTTTGCTGCTTATTTGAGGAATGAAGGTGCAAAGGAGCTTGCTAATGACAGCAAAAAAGGGCACAGAGAAACAAGGTGAAAATGCTTGTGAATGAAGCTGGGGACTCAGTCACGGGCCTCTGTATCTTTTCTGTCCTTGATTTGTCAGAAGCTTTCATAAGATTTTCATTACATACAGATAGAGAGTATGCCTCTGTCTGTAAATCACAGAATCACAGAACCACAGAATCA